TTGAACAGAAGAATTGCCGTATTACGAGGATATCATGGGAGACCGAATCGGGAATTTTATACGAGAAAAAGAAATTCATTAAAGACAAACTTTCTGTTTTATTTATTTATTTGTATACTTATCTTACAACTACTACTGCTGCTACTATTTGTCGTTATTCTCGAATTGAAAAGAAATCAGAAACTAAGCAAAACTCTGAAATAAAAATCTCTTAAAAAATCTGTTTTTTTTGTTGTTATAAAATTCGAAATACTACGCCGGTTTCTGGACCTTTCATCAAAAAATTATAATTATCTGTTTATTTGTACTATAAAAGAAACCAATATTTAACATCGAACGGAGATTAATCCGTAAAAGTGGTTGGGTCGTGAAATTTCCATAGATATGTTCTAATCAATTCATTAAAAAACGATTAACGTCATATTGCGATATGCTATTTACAACTGTTACGATATATCTGCGTAAAAGTCGCTTAAAAAAGCAAAACAGAGCCTTCACAAAGTAACAAAGCAAAATTATAGTTACTCGTATAGTGACATAAATTCATAAAACGACAGGTCACATAATGACTTAAGTCAACCACATGGTCTTGCGCAAGCTGCGTGCGCTTTCACTGGTCACACCTTGCACGCTCTTAAATGACGTAATACGTGTAATATATGTTAAAACAATACGTGCATGGTGATTAGTTATACTTATAACCCGTGTTTAATGGGGGCCAATGGGTCGAGCTTATAAGCCGCGGAATTGTTAAGTGGTCTGAAGAAATTGTTGCGTTTTGATACGTGATGATTCACACTTCATTCTCTGTCGACAATATATGAATAAATACTTATTATTGAAAATACCAATACTACGAATACCTGTTATTTAAAAATACCTGTTATTTAAAATATTCAAAACGATTTACAGTATGGCCGATGAGTTCACGGTCAAATTGATGTTAAACTTCTATCGGAGCCTACAGACACTGGGACGTGAAGATTTGTTGTCAACTGCCCTATACTTAAAATCAGAAAATTTTGCTACTTCACGGCAGATATTAGCAGGATTATAGTATTTACTCATACAGGCCTGTCTTATACGACTATGTGAAGTTTACAATAGGTATTCTGCTTTTTTATGATTGAGGGATTACTGGATTACCACAAGGCTCAACCAGGAAGGCTGTGATTTTCTAACAGCTGCCCAAGCACCTCCAAGGGAGACCTAAAAACTCAAGAGCAGCTGCTTCGCGAGTGAATCTACTACCGGATCGCTATCGCGACCCGCCGAGAAGATCCGGCGAGAAACTCAGCTGGCTGATGTTTAGGTTAGGTTGCACGTCGATCTCTTTCGCCGAGTTCAACAAGTACGGTTCCTGTATCCTACTATGACCATGAAACATTACAACAGACGACTAATTCATTTAAGAAGAATTAAAATGACTTTTCGTATCCCAAAAAAACAATCCAATTAAATTGTAATACATTTTTATTGAGCAACCTTTTCTCTCTATACTAGCACATACCGTGAGTGCGTAATGAAAATTAATATGTTTAAAACGAGCAGAGGAAACGCTTTACGAGTATCGCGTTTCATGAGAATTTGAGGTTTTACTGTTGCGAAAGACAATCTTCATCGGGCCCTTAAAAATAATTGGCAGGCTTAATGTTACACAAAATTATGATCAGAAAAGGTGAGTGGACTGAAGGTCTTTTTGTGCATTACGATTTTGTTATCGGGACTTATAAAAAAAATCACACTACTCACTTTTCATCTTCTTCAAATGTAATCATACTCATATGGAAGGCATAGCTCTTTCGGCGAGTTAAAGAATTACTCATAACTCTCTGACTCATAAAGTACCAGTCGACTTATTGGTATCGTGGTTTTTTTTTATGATTGAAGGATTACTGGTGGCCCGGAGGCCTTTCCAGTTTCACCAGGAAAGGTGGGCAAGCAAAGCCTCAGCCAGAAGGGGTGGGATTTGCTAACAGCTGCCCGAGCGCCTCCGAAGGAAACCTAACAGCTCAAGAGCAGCTGCTTCGCGAATGAATCTACTACCGGCGAGAAACTCAGCGAGCTGATTCATGGGTTAGGTTGCACGTCGAACTCTTTGTCGAGTTCGACGAGTGCGGTTACCGGGGTCCCTAAGCCTGCTCCTAGCGTTAGAGCTGAAGGCGTCTAATGCAAAGGTTATTGGATCTGATGGATCCGTAAGGACGTGTCTAGGGCGTCGACGGTGACTGGCTCCTGCGTGATCAAGATTCGGGGAGTAGTCAGCGGCGGCAACGATAAGGCGATTATCATGACGCATAGCCTTATCGAAGTACCGTTCCGACGCTGACTTCATGTATTTCTGGATTGATTCGAGGCCCAGGTCGTCGTGTAGGTCAACGTTCCTCACGAACCACGGAGCTCCGACGGCTAACCTGCAAAAGCGGGATTGGAGAGATGGGAGGGTGTCTATGTGTGTGCGGGCCGCGTGAGCGAAAGCCCCACCAAACACAACGAATATATTGTATTTAATATCGCTTTTATAATATGTTTTGGTGAGCAATAAATTATACTGTAACTCTCTCTCGCTCGCATCCCTCTCTATTAGACTCCGCCACCGGTGTAGAGTTCATGTTTACTACCTATAGCCACTGCGTTCATCCACAGTGCGCTTCCAGAGGTCTCTTCTGCCATGTACCATCCGGCTTTGGAATGAGCTCCCCTCTACGGTGTTTCCTGAGCGCTATGACATGTCCTTCTTCAAACGAGGCTTGTGGAGAGTATTAAACAGTAGGCAGCGGCTTGGCTATGCCCCTGACATTGCTGACGTCCATGAACAACGGTAACCACTCACCATCAGGTGAGCCTAGCTCCTCTGCCTACAGAGGCAATAGAAAAAAAAACTCCCCGAAATATGTATAATCTTCTCTATATTTTATATAAAAATGAATTACTGTTTGTTAGTCTCGCTAAAACTCGAGAACGGCTAGACCGATTTGGCTAATTTTGGTCTTGAATTATTCGTGGAAGTCCAGGGAAGGTTTAAAAGGTGAGAAAATATAAAAAAGCTCAGAATTATATAAGAACAAGTAATTTTGTTTTTCCTTTGATGTGTCCCCTTGATTTGTGTTTTATTTATCGATTGAGGCACTACGAAGTCTGCCGGGTCAGCTAGTGATACATAAAAAGCTCATAGCCTTTCCCAATAATCAAATAACCTTAAAAAACACATTCGTCTAAGTTGCATCACTTATAATCAGATGTACGAGCGTGAATAATTGCTTTACGATCTTAAATTACAGTGTTTATAACGTTAGCCGGGTGTTTCTTAATATCAATTGTTATGCTTATAAATACTTTTGTTTTTATTTAAATTAATTGATGATTCTTGTTACTTATTTTAGGGTTGCGTAACGTAAAAAAAAAACTCAAAGTTTCGTCTTATGCGTCTGTTCTGTGTGTATTTGAAACTATATCAATCTTTTGTATGACATTATATAGTATGTTTACTGGTGGTAGGACCTCTTGTGAGTCCGCACGGGTAGGTACCACCTCCTCGCCTATTTCTGCCGTGAAGCAGTAATTCGTTTCGGCTTGAAGGGTGAGGCAGCCGTTGTAACTATACATGAGACCTAATAACTTATATCTCAAGGTGGGTGGCGCATTTACGTTGTAGATGTCTATGGGCTCCAGTAACCACTTAACACCAGGTGGGCTGTCAGCACGTACACCCATATAAGAAAAAGAAAAAAAACAGGTGTATTATGTAGGATAATTACGATGGAAACAACATGATATCCAAAAAAAAAAAAATTTTCAATTGTAACCTTTTTTATTAATCTCATTCCGATTGTGTAGAAGACTGTACTTGTTATCAGATAAGCAGCACTCTTGTGTATTTACAATCTAATAAAAAGAAAGAAAGAAAGAGAAAAAAACGCCCACCGTCAACATACAATTTTGTGCAAAAGTTCTTCCTGTAACGTCCATCTTGAGTGCAAACAGCGGAAAATCAGCCTTTGAACAAAGGTCGACAATTACGATCCCCTTTATAAGAACATCTTCACACTGTACAATCGTATAGAATTGTCTCGCTTCGTAAAATACGAATAGAAAACGTGCGGACTTTTATTTAGGTACACGTGCAAACTATAATCAAAAGTGTTGATGTAAATTCTAAGAAAAACGGTATGCTTATTTACCATTCGAGGAAAAAAGTCGACGTCGGTAGTACGCGGTAAAATTAAAACCACATATTTAATTTAGCTTTTAGATTTAATAAAATAGGTTCTAGCAATGAGCCCGTCTTTTCAATGAACTGTGTGGAAAAGGTCACATTTAAACTAATTCAAAGATCCAAAGCCCTAGCGGCAAACGTAGAGGCGCTGTTTCAACTCCATACAAATTCGAGTTAACTTTTACGCGATCGAGAAGTTAAAAAACTCGCACTAAGTACACTAATCACTCTCAGATGCGTTACCGACGTATATGAACGACGGTAACCATTCATCATGAGATGTGTCGTAAACCTACAAAGGCCGCAAAAAAAGTTTATATTCAGACATTACTGACACATTTCGCTACGTCGGGTGTTACGTTACTGTAATCGTAAATATGTGGTTCAGCCCTACCCTTCAGCGTGTCTATAGAGAACATTCCCCTCTTTGTTTGCTGGAGCATAAATCCTTAAGCGGTACGGACACTTTTTTTAGAATTCATTCATTTGATCGTTAAGTTGCTCACTGTTCCGCCTCAAATAATACGATTCAAAACGTTTTATTGACTTCAAACATCAATAAAACAAAGCTTCACGGTAGAAACGGGTGTGACGATGCGATTTCAAGCCTGCGTAGACATTGTTTGAGAGAGTAAACTTCTCGAATGCAAAATAATGGTGTCCTTCCTTAAAGCTATAAAATGAACCTTACGCAGAAAAACTTAAGCTTTCTAATAAATTAACTTGCCCCTAATCGAAACGTGCTATAAATACGTCAGTCCTGACAAAATTTTTTCGTCCGCAGTGATCCTGGCAGCCATAAACCTAACATCATGTGCCCAAATCGAGGACCCGTGCAAGACCAAAGCTAGAATAGTGGCCGATGACAAATACTGCGACAAGTATTGGGAATGTGACAACGGACAATCGGTACAATACGACTGCCCCAATGGACTTGTTTTTGCGGGCAAACATCGAGGGGTGACTGAGGGCTGCGATTACCCTTGGAGGTCAAATTACTGCGAGTACCCGAAGGCTCAGATAAGTAAGTATGCATATTTTCTTTTTTCTTTTTTAGGATTGAAAATTACTGGTTTTCATCTTCACCAGATCAGCTGGGCGAGCAAAGGCTCAGCTAGGAGGGATGGGATTTGCTAATAGCTGCCCGAGCGCTTCCGAAGAAGACCTAACAACTAAAGGTTGCTTCGCGAATGAATCTATTACCGGATCGAAATCGCGACCCGCTGAGAAGATCCTGCACATTTTCTACAAACAGTTACCTCTTTGAGAAATATTAATGTCTATAGTATAATAAAGCTCTTTCGGTCCTTCGGCAAACTAAAGCCACGTCTACGAGCTACTGCAATGTGAAAAACCTAAATGCTTGTATATCTTCTTTGGTTTTACAAGCTCACGTTATGTCATTTATAAATTTTGTAACCTTTTAACACATTATCCTTAGAGTATCACCAAATTTCACATAGCGTTAGAAATATTCTTGAAATACATTTGAGTCACGGAATAGAAAAAGAGACTATAGCAGACTGTGACTAGAAGTCATGAATTCAATTCATAATGTAGTAATTGTTAAAAGTACAGCTTAAAATTCATACTTACTCAAAAATAAAAACTAGAATGGCATTTTATAAATTCCAACCAACCACCAAAAAGATACGTAATGTATTTTATGTCATAAAATTTTTAAACGATCCAGGATCTACGTAATCAATATTACCGGGAAATTATTTAAATACTTTTCACAACAGCGCGATCTTATCTATTTTAATAATGCCGATATTTTTATTAGGACATCTTGGACGAGAATTTTCGCATTGAGTAAGTGCCCTAAAAGTTTACGAGGATAACTAGGGCGTTTATTTTTGTTCAGGAATTTCATGCTTGAATGCTTGCTATCATATACTATTTATTTAAGAGTATCACACATGTTATTGTAGACGAGTTGAACGAACAATATTGGACAGCTTAGTATTTAGACAGTTTAGTCCAGTAATTAGTCCAGTAGCTGTTAAGTAGTAATTAGTTCGTCCAGTGTGGATGGACATCTTAGTCCAGTAGTTAGTCCAGTAGCTGTTTAGTGGTAATTAGTTCATACAGTGTAGACAGTTTAGTAGGTCCATTATCGATTTTGAATTTTTAATTTTTATACCATTTTAATATTTGCATGTACTAGTTTCGTACATTACAGGATAAAGAATGAGTATATCAGAGGAAGTGTGAAAGTAGCCCCGGTAAACAAGAACTTAAAGAGCGGACGGTTAGCGTGGTATGGACATGTGATGCGTAGAAAGAAGATGCATGTGACTAGGAGATGTATGGAAATGGTAGTACAATGTAGAGAGGGAAGAGGTCGACCGAAGAAGACATGAATTGAGTGTGTGAATGACAATATGAGAGAGAAATGAGTGAGTGTTGAGATGACAGCTGATAGAAAAGAATGGAAGAGAAAAATTAGCTGTGCCGATTCCACCTAGTAGGATAAGGTGAAGAAAAAGAAGACTTTTTTTTTATAGCTTATATGGATGGACGAGCTCACAGCCCGCCTGGTGTTAAGTGGTTACTGAAGCCCATAGACATCTACAACGTAAATGCGCCACCCTCCTCGAGATATAAGTCCTAAGGTCTCAGTATAGTTACAACGGCTACCCCACCCTTCGAACCGAAACGCATTACTGCTTCACGGCGGAAATAGACAGGGTGGTGGTACCTACCCGTGCGGACTCCCAAGAGGTCCTACCACCAGTTTCGTACATTGTGCAGTATATTCGTGCTGTGGCCCCCGGTCCCGCTAACAAACAACGCTTGCTTAACGTACAACCAGGACCATACTGAATTAGGATCGAATTTGCGCTAAAAGATCAGAGTACCTTTAATTTGCATTCTTTTTTAATATATACCTGAAGTGAACTCACCCCTTAGATGTTTCCAGAGAACTACGATATGTCTTCCTTAGCGTAGTCGGTGTCAATAGGCGACAATGTCCACTTTCCACTAAGTGAAATGCATTGCCGTCTAGTTTTAATGCACCAAAATTTACTTTCACTGTAAAAACTTTTTATATTCTAATTCTATTATCTATTAATTAACTTTATGACGTAGGATCTCGGGGTCTAAGCCCTTAATAACCTAATTTCGGTCTAATTTTAATATGAGGCATATCTTACAATAATGATCCAAGAATAATTACCCACATATTATCTCCCATCTTAATCTGTCAACGCCTGCTTTATTTTCAGATCCCCCAATCGGCACGGAGCACTGCGACTGGCTGTACGGTATCTTTGGCCACGAGACCTCCTGCACCAGGTACTGGACCTGCTGGAACGGCACCGCCACGGAGCAGCTTTGCATCGGAGGGCTTTTGTACAATGAGAACGCCCACTCTTGTGACTGGCCTGAGAACGTTGACGGTTGTCAAAAGCATCGTAAGTATTTAAACGCTCAAACACAAACTGGAGATTTTAATTTGATTGACACCGTTATAAATCAATATTCGTATTGAATTCGCATTATAAAGCTTAAACTAAATAACTTTGGTAAAAATCAAGGTTTGGAATTTCATCAACTGATCCGGGTCGAAGGAACAAAGCACACAAAAATGTGTGTGGCATTTCAAGTCAAAAAGACTTTTACTCAATATTGTATTTTTTTTTGTTATTTATTATCTTCAACACGCTTCTTTCGTGGTTTTACAATAGTAGTAATATGATAATTAAGACCGTGCATTAATTACCTTATTAGTCACGTCAAAATACTCAAATTTCAAACTGTCATGTTCGATGCTCATTAATCCTTTGTATTGAAATTCATTGAACACGTGTTAAGGTTGTATTTATCGAGCTAGTCTTGGGTAAATTGAGATTATACGTCCGTTCAAATATTGAACAAAGCTGATCCGAAACGGAAACTATTCACACAAATTTCAATGCATCAAATGGAATGTTGCTTTTCTATCCATTTAAAATTAACTCTCATGTTTTATAGAAATATTTAATCAATGATTTAAGCTAATTCATTTCTCTTACTAACCAATAACTTATACTTTATTCGTAATACTCTAAAATATTTAAATAATAGTAAAGGACAATATTTCGGGTCATGTGGCATTATAATAAACCGCATAATAATATAACCTTAAAAAACATATTCGACATACAATCGTCAATAGGATTTTAAACTCGTATAGAACCGCAATACTGAAAAATAAAAATAAGTATTTTATCCTGGCAATAAATACCAAATAGAATAATATATCAAAGAGAAACGTCCAAAAATGTTATGTCAATTGTGTCGTTTATTTATCCCAACTATAATGGACAATGTCGCGTGGGTGTGAGGGAACGACAAACGTCCCTGTTTCCACGTTAATATATATACATAAATTGTGAGTTTCCCTGAATCTCTCGTCGGCAACAATTCGTTGCTATGTAAGATTATCTTGTGCGAGGTTGTGGCTTCGGATAGAATCATACAGCTCGATTGGAACTTTTTTGCGTACAAAAACATGGTAAAAAAATGTAATGTTTATTATAATACAATTTTGTTACTATGTTTTTCTTTTGATAGCATCGGGCAATAATGGAAAAATTTGTCTTTTTTATTGCCCGTTTTAGCACACGAGCATACGGCCCACCTGATGGTGAGTGGTTACCGTCGCTCATGGACATCAGCAATGACAGGGGCAGCTCAGCTAGTTTTAAATAAATATTCAAGGTTATTATTAACTCGAAATACCTTAAATTGATCTATGAAAAAAAAAAAAAATTAACAAAAATGCTGAACTCATTTCGTCTCGCAACCTTCAAGTTCCATTGAGCGCCAGTTTAATGTATCTCCATAATAACATGGACGGTACCTTGCGCCATCCACATCAAAAGCTCACATAAATAATGATCTCTTTTCATGGTCACAGCGACATAATATTTCAACTCTCAAAACCTTTATGGATGGCAACAAATTATGTATTGATAATGCTATTTACAAAACATACAAAGCCTTGGTGCATTAGGTATTTTTTGTGAGAACATAGCTTTAGACCTAACTTAACAAAATAAATGTAGACGACGAATAAAAGTTTAATCATCCACAAACACGACCACTGTAAATTATTATTTTAATTTTAAATTCTTATTATAAACCATAAAGTAGTTTTAATTAAATTTGCTACTCGCGAAAATCGAAGAAAATACTGACATTACTTAATTACTTTTAATTGAATCCGGTCGCTATGGTGAAGCTTGGGGGAGGCATATGTCGAATAGCGTACCTCTGTGGACTAAATGGTAGATAGCATCCAAAATCCTTTACAATTTTTTTTAGTATTTCGCGTGTTTTTTTAGCATATTTATTAAAATACAAATATTTCAATTGAATATAAACTTATTCGTATTTTTAACGTGTGACGGTGTTGAACGCTCTGATAAAACAAGTAATTTATATCATTGCAAAGATTGTTTACGATATTTTTTAATGTAAGTAAGCATTGTATGTGAATGTAATATTATAGCTGTAATAAGTCTAATTAATGAGTAAAGTTAGACGTGAGTATAGTACATTGTGCATCAAGGAACAAAAGTAGGCCATTTCCTCCTGCGAGTAAAATTGCCAAAAAACACGCATGATGAGATATCCTACTTTATTCTAATAAAAAAACAATTTAAGTGTTTTTTTATTTTTAAATAAACTACTACTAATCATCTTTGCTTAATACTTCACTATTAAATTTTATTGCCTTTTGTTTATTTCACTTTTACACTAAACACAATATTGCAAATTACCCGAGCACAACAATGGCGGAGAATTTTAGGTGCGTGAGAGCAAATGTAGACACTAAAGCGCATGCGCACTTGTCAGTACCCAGGGAGAAAAAGTTAGACTTTCTTCCCTGTACAGCGAGAGGAAAACCGAACTTTCGGCGTAGGTAGGAGAAAAAATAAATGGTACGGTTGTTGAGTGAATAATTTAATTAGATCAAAGAAGTGTGTGTGACTTCTTACACAGGTACAATACGGCAGTTGTTTTTTTTCTTTTATCTCGATATTCTCTTATTGGTAATCGCAGGAACAGAGTATAATTGAGCTAAGAGCTGAGGGAGGATGATTTTTTTAAACTACGAAAATAAAAATGAATATTAATTTAAAAGTAATTATTGGAAAATACTACAACCCTATTTCGTGCATGAATTATTATCGACAGAGCATCAAAATTTCAATTCACTAATCGATCATCAAGCAACTTTCACACTAATTGTACGAGTCGTAAAGCGTAAAATTGAATAATGTACGGGCTTATAAAGATTCTTTATGTAACTGAATAATTGATGGTTTGATGGATCGATAAACATCGATTAATCGGTGGCCGCTCAACGCAAACGAAAGTGGATTGAAGATTGATGAATGGCGTATCGATCTTTCACATTTAGATTTAATGACCAATAAAAAAAAAGTAAAATTGGAAAAACTTGTCGAAAACAATACATTTTATATACACACTTACCTACATACCTGGTCTTACCGTAAATATTCGTGATACTCTAATTGTGGCAAGAGAAACACTGTTGTTTTTATTACAAGAAATATTAATTACTGCAAGGTGTCTTTGTTTATACGTTAATTATATAAATCTAAATAACATTTTGAAAATTATGAAGCTCATGCAAAACGATGTTAATTGGCGTTTAATACAATCTTTTAAAAATTGTGGTAGTTATAAATTCAATCCACTTTCTCCATCTGACAATTCAACTTTGATAATTAAGGAATGCTCTAGAGATCTTAAATTAATATGGCGTTTAGAGCAAGCCTGTTCTCTGCAAAAGAATAAAAAACATATCCTGCGGTTTCTGAGAACTCTTTAGTTCTAATGAAGCAAATAACGTGCCTTTTCTAGTCATAATTGTAACATAGCTGTTTCTAGTCATGAAAGTGACCTTTGTGACCCGGTGATGAGTCTGACTAAAAAGGCCTGTTATACGACATAGTGTTATTAATCGGCTTAACCACATCACCATAATTCGTATTTTGTTACAATTAGACGATATTTTAACATATTTTTGTTCAAAAAATTTATCAATTCTTGACATCTAACGCTCTTAAGCATTAGAACGTTCGAACATAATCAATTAAAACTTTTAAAAATATCACTATGGAAATGTAATTTTAATATTGTACTATTATTAAAGCATTTAAATGAATGGACTAAAAAGGTCACAATAACCCTGAGAAATAACGCAGCAGGTCCTACGGAAATTCACAGACAACGTAATTTACCAAACCAGAATTTACCATTGATCCTTTCGATAACCTTTGCAAAATAAACAAGTCATGGTTCTGTTTAATATTGTGATATCGATTACGCATTCGTTTACAGATCGATTCAACAATAACGGACTAGATAATTATTAACTTTTGAGCTGTGTTCGTCTCTAAATATGTTTTTCGAATCAAACCGTTTGAAATCGTCGTGACCTAAAGGATAAGACGTCCGGTGCATTCGTATGTAGCGATGCACCGGTGTTCGAATCCCGCAGGCGGGTACCGATTTTTCTAATGAAATACGTACTTAACAAATGTTCACAATTGACTTCCACGGTGAAGGAATAACATCGTGTAATAAAAATCAAACCCGCAAAATTATAATTTGCGTAATCACTGGTGGTAGGACCTCTTGTGAGTCCGCACGGGTAGGTACCACCACCCCGCCTATTTCTGCCGTGAAGCAGTAAGGGTGGGGTAGCCGTTGTAATTATACTGAGACCTTAGAACTTATATCTCAAGGTGGGTGGCGCATTTACATTGTAGATGTCTATGGGCTCCAGTAACCACTTAACACCAGGTGGGCTGTGAGCTCGTCCACCCATCTAAGCAATAAAAAAAACCGTTTTTAACGTTAGTATTTTGAAACCTTCCAATCTGTCTCTTCTCCGAAGTTATTACTCGTGTATCCGGTTCGACAAACAGTTACTATGTACAATACAAATCGAATTGGTCTTCATGTCTCAAAAAGTTTAAAGTTGTAGTGTCATGGGTATCAAGTATAGTAGTAAAATTGGCTACTTATTTACAATTTTTTTTTTCCCTGAAATGCAAATAGTTTGTAATTAAGACTACTTTATCTGTTGTACAAAAGTCTTCGGAACGTTAGATACAATCAAATGGATTCAAGAAATGCGATTAATGGATGCCGTAAGAGTAGTTCTTATTTCATATCTACGACTCGTGAAAATTGAATAAAATATATATGACGGAGGAGAAACGCTGAAGGAATGTTTTTAAAAAGTGTGACGTCACCATTGCTGACGTCACGGTCATTAAGTTCTCGACGATGACTCATGTTTGGGCTTCCAAAACAAAACTTCAAGAGAACTGCGTATATTGCACGAGAAGCATAACAACGTTACAGAGAGATCCGTACTGTGCTACGGCTCGGACACGAATGAATCAACGCTAGACAGCACGGCCGTATTTATAGGACTTCGTACACGTCAGCGTGTTTACAAGTATTAAACACGTGAGCGTGTTTACAAGATTTTAAAGTATTGAAATTACAATAAAAGGGACTGTTTAACATCAATTTCTTATCACAGAGTAATTAGTTGACGATCAGTAGGTAAATAGTCATATTTGCGCCGACACGGCCATACTGACAGGCGGTGCGTGCTCTGCACCGGCCTCGTTGATTCTCGTAGGTTTTTCTTTGATTCTCATTGACCTGTAGGAATAAAAAGTTTCTCTGAGTAGCGCATCTGTTATACTTGCGTTACTTGTAACTATGTAGGTTTGAGACTTATTAATGCGATTTGATTGTAGG